CTCTGGCTCGCCTGTAGTGCTTTTCATCAGGAGACACCAACGCTTTTTGAAAAGGCAGGTCAGTATCACTAGCCTTAATTTACAGATGGGGAAACTGAGGCACAAGCGGGGGGGGGGGGCATGACCAGCAGGCCAGTGGCAGAGTCGGGAATGGAACCCAGGTCTGGCCCTCTATTCACTACGCCATGCTGCCTCAGGAAGTCATCGCTGGGGGGTGGATGGACGGTGAGATCTCAGCCGCTGGTGGCTTTTCCAGCCTTTCGATGGCAAAGAGCTTGGTTCTCCTGGTGTTTCTGGCCTATTCATGGCTCTCCTGCCAAAGGGGAACCAACTTTGAAATCACCCAGGGCCTGATTTCTCCCTGATTTACCCTAAGGCCCCTTTACGCCACTCTGCCAATGCATCGTCCATTTCACAGCACCCGAGACACTGAGAAAGGCCCTGAGCCTGGATTGAATCCTGAACCCCAGAGCCAGAATCCATCACCCTGATCTCATTTGCCAGCAGCTCACTCCTCTGGGAGCTCGTCTGCACCTCAAACACTCCAGGGGCACAGCTGCCCCACGGAAGTGCTTCTGTGTAGACACCACCTCAGCCACCGGCGTAGATAAGCCACCTCCCTGGAGAATTCGTCCATCTACCTAGCACTGTCTAAGCCAGGGGTTAGGTCGGTATAGAGCCATGGATTTTTCATGCCCCTGAGAGACCTAGCTGTGCCAAGCACCAGGCCTGGGAGGAGAGGAAGAGCTGGCTTGAAATTCCCTAAAAGCGTCAGAGCTACACAGCATCCTAGTAAGTCACTTTTCTCCCCCCACTCCTGAGTGCTGAGACCAGAAATGACCTGGGGACGTCAGTTGCAGTTAAAGCCCCTCCCCGGTCAAGGGGAGGAAGAAAAAAAGAAGCCCCCCCACGCACCAGGCTTTTCTGCTGCGCCATGTGAACGAACTAACTTTGTTTTCCACCAGGCCTTTCCCTTAATACCCTCGCCCTTCCCCCGCGCTTTTGCTGGCGTTTGAGAGTAAGTGAGGCGTGAGAGAGCTTTTGGAATAATGAGGTGTAATTAGCCCTGGCAGCTTTTATCTTCCAAACTCTCCCCCCCACCCTCTCTTCAATTAGATTGAAATAAAAAAAAAAAGGCGAGAAAGAACCGGCAGAAAGTTTGCATGCCGCCCGCATGGCCCTTGGTGCATTCCTGGTGGGGAAGCCAGAGCCGTCCTCCGAGGCCTGAAACCTGGCACTAACGTAGTAGCACTTTGCATCAGTAGCTCTCCACGCTCAGAGCAGGGGCGGATCAGCAACTAAGTCTTCAGGGACCGGGCTTCTATTCCCAGGGACCATAGGCAAGTCACTGCCCGGCTCTGTGCCTCAGTTTCCCTCCCCTTCCTGAGAGCTCAGGGATTGTCTCTTGCTCTGAGTCCATTCAGCAGCTTGCACGATGGGTCCCCAGTCTGGGCCTCCGCAGCCAGGCCTCCCAATTGACGGACGAGTGCTGCCGGACCACAAGCAATGACTGCGGCCTGTTGCACAAAGCAGAACCAGCTCGTACCTTGTGCTCTCCCCATCCACTTGTGGTAGCCATCTGTTGTCTCTTCCCGCAGCTGCGGATGGTAAACTCAAACTCGGGAGTGTCTTTGCCCTCTGTCTGTACAGCGCCTGGCACAATGGGGCCCTGAGCCTCGCTGGGGCCGATAGGTGCTACAGTCATTCAGATAGTGATACTAACAGAGCTTTGAGTTCTCTGGAAGAGCTTGGAGTTCTGCAGATGAGAGATGCTGCGGAGGTGGGAAGCTTTATTCATTATTATTATTTTATTAATAATCTGAATGGAAAGGCTGGCAGATTCAGGAGAGAGTTCACAGGTACAATATGGACGGGAAGCGGTGAAGAGGCAGCTCGTGCCTGTCAATCCGCAGGGCCACTTCCAAGGTAGGAAAAGGGGCACAGGAAACGCGGTTAACCCGACCCTCCACCTGCGTCCCTCCATGGACTCCAGTGGATGATCGTCAGCTGACGAACTGGCCGATCATCTTCAGGAGAGCTGTGCTGATTTACACCACCTGCGGATCTGGCCCTACGTTATCCAAACACATGGCTGGATGGCCAGGAGCCTGGGCATGAGTCTTGGCCAGCTGGCTGACAAGGAGGAGGGTAGAAAACACCCTCTGGTCCCAGAAATATTTTTTTCGGCCCCTCTGCCTGAAGTTGCCACCTCCCCAAAATCTCTTGAGGTCTTGAGGGAGCGTTGCCACCAGGGCAGCGGGTGGCTTCTCTCACTGGCCTAGTTCTCGAGGGAAGAATTTCAAGCCAAAGGACCGCCTAGCCCTGGGGAGGGCAGGTAAAATAAGTGCTCCCTGCCCTCCCCAGACTTGATCCCCGCTCTCCGCCTTCTGGCCTGCCAAGTGAAATAAAATAAGTTGTTGTAAGCACATGCGTGGCTGTCCTGACCCCTTTCTATTCCCGACTGCCCTCTGATCTTTCTTACCCGTGACCCTGCTCTTCAGCCTGACAGCCTGATGGATGGTCAGGGCCCGGTGATTTATGATGGCCTTTAATATTTGGAAAAACAGACAAGACCAACGGCGGGGGAGAAAGGAGGCTGCCGAGGGGACAGGGCTGGGTGGATTTTCAAGGGAAGGGAGGGTGGGGGATTTGTCAACCTTTTAGGCTGGTGGGGGGAGGGGAATAAAGTGCTCCGTCTGTCCTGAGTGATTTATGTGCAATTGCTGCGATTAAATTGGCCTTAGCTAATGATAACTAACTAGTCAGGGGCTGACCTTTCTGTGACAATGGAAAGGGGCCAGGAGGCCGGCTATGTCTGTGTGTGTCTCCCTCCCTCCCTCTAAACTGGGGGAATTTATTTAGCTAAGACACTGCTCATTCCCCCCCCGCCCGCCCCCCGGTTTGAAATTTCCATCGTCTTGGGGGAAGAAACGGTCCAGCTGCTTCCTGGGATTAGGCTCAACCTGGAGGCCGGTTTTCCATGGAGCAGGAGTCGGCAGCGGCTCGTTTGGGATTGCTGAGGCCGAACACGCTTTCCATGTCCACAGAGGCTTGCTGAAATCGCGAGGCGGGAGGGTCTTGCTGAAAAATAAAGGCTCATTTATTCCAGTGGGTGCTTTGAAAGCTGGATCTGAAGGGCTGGCCTACGCCGCTTCCCGCAGCCCCCATTGGCCTGGAGCGGCGAACCGCGGCCAGTGGGAGCCGCGATCGGCCGAACCTGCGGACGCGGCAGGTAAACAAACCAGCCCGGCCCACCAGGGGCTTTCCCTGAACAAGCGGTGGACCGGCTTTGAGAACCACTGCTTTACACTACTTGCTATGAGAAGGGTTAGCTCAGTGGTTAGGGTACTTGCCTAAGACTTCAGAGGCCTAGGTTCAATTTCCTGCTTTGGCACAGCCTCGACTTGAGTGAGTTGCTCTGTGCCTTAGTTTCCCCATCTCTGTAACGGGCATAATTGCCCTGTGGGAGTTGTGAGGATAGACACGTTGCAGATTGTGAGGTACCAGCTGTCACAGTGGTGGGGGCCAGATAAGTACCAGCAGTTGAAAAATCTGCTTCGGGGAGGGATTTAGGTTTTGACTTTTTAGAGTTTATTCATTTGATTTTTTGTTTGTTTGCATTTGGGATGATTTGTTTCAAGATCATTGTTATGTTTATTGGGAGGAGGTTGGATAGAAGGGGATGTCAGAGTATTGTGAGCGTCGTTCTTACAATGGAACAGCCTTTTCAAAGAGGATTCCCAAAGTTTGGATTTTGTTCAAAAGAAATTTTATGAGGACTACACAAGAGGCAAGGCAAACAGTGAATCAGGTGCAGGAAATGTACCCTGGCGTAGCTACATTAGGGGCTGGAATTCCAGTCTAGACCAGACTGTCTGTTACATCCTGGTCCTTCTGATGCTGCGTTTGTCCCTTCCTCGGACACATGTCCATGCATTCCCTGATGCAATGAGATTTCCATAATCTTTCCTCCAGATCGTTCACAATGATGGCATTTCAAATGTGGTAATTAGTGGAGCTGGTCAGAAAATGTTTATCAAAAGAGGTTTCCCCTGGGAAAAGCTGTCTCTTAGTCAAACCAACCTTTTCGCAAAATTGCGTCAGTTTCGAGGAAATATCGTTTTGAAAAGAGTTGGGGGAAAAGCTCAAAAATGTCAAAATGGGATCTGTTGTTTCAAAATCGGCTTGCTTTTGTATAAAAAAATGTGTTTTTGAAAAGATTAAAATTGAGATGAAATGTTTCCAGTTTATCAAACCGAAAGGTTTTGATGGACCCAAATTTTTTTGCAAAAAAAATTCAAAATTTTAGTTTTTCGTCCCAATTCGGGATAAAAACAAATTAAAAATTGACATTTTTGTGGGGACAGAAAATCTGGTTTCCAACCAGCTCTAGTAATTAGAAAGAAAGAAAGAAATCAACCTGAACTCCCTGCCTTGCGTGCTACCTAAGAATTGAGCAGTGGAAGGGGATGGAGTGGAGGGAAAGGTGCAGAAAGACCACAAAGTGGTCAGAGTACAGAGTCAACAGGAACCTGGTGTCGGTGAGAAATCCCATGTCAGGATTTCTTTTGCCTTCCGTTTGGTCATTTGCGAAAGTAAATCGCTTGAGCAAAGTCTAAGGGAATGTGTGCACAACGGGCCTATGGCAGTGCAGTGACATGCAGTGCCAGATTGTCGATGCTTTCTCTGTCAGCATCGACGTAGCTAATCCACATCTCTGAGAGGCAGGAGTTCGAATCCTTCCATCCCCCTAGCCGCGTCTACCAGGGGCATTAGGTCGGCTGAACTGAGCTGCTCAGGGCACACTTTTCACAGCCCAGAATGACTTACCTGGATCAGCCTAAGATTTAGATCTAGACCAGGCCTAATTCTGTTTGCAAAGAGGCGACTCGCTTAGCCCCAGTGAAACCTTCAAAGCCCAGGAGGATGGTTTGTTCCTGAATCTCTCAGCCTCTCCTTTGCTGCATTGAGAATATCAGCTACTGTCCTTTTTTCCCTAGGCAAGCTGTGGCGTGAAGCGAGCGCCGTTACAGCAGCAGGAATGGATACTTTCCCAGAGAAGACACTGGGCGCCTGAAGAAAGATGGCCTTGTTGTAAAGATACGGCACTGGGATTCCAGAGTTGCGGGCTCAGTTCCCTGCTCTGCTACTGCCACCGGTATGACCTTGGGCAAGTCCCTTAGGTTGTGGACGTGTCCCTTATTATGTGTCCATGCTCTGTGGTCCCGATCCTGGTTATAGAAGGAGGATTAATTGCAGAGTATGCAGCTTATTCTGATGGAGACCACCCCGCCTCCCGGGTTTTATTCTAAGAACAGATAGGGAGGGGAGTTCTGATCTGCTAAGAACCGCCCGGATCTTTCACCCAGAATTTACAGCAATCCCTGAAATAGCCTTGAAATGAGAAAAACACCTTTAGGGACCTCAGAGACTTTGGGTGAAAACTTGGCTCCACTGAAGTAAATGGGAACTTTGCCAGTGACTTCAGCAAAGCCTGGACTTCACCCTTTTGTCTTCTTACTTGGCAGGTCACTGCCGTGCTTATCCATCGCTTTGGGAATTAGGGCACCGGACTGGGACTCCTGGGTTCTGTTCAGGGCTTTAACAACTCGTTGTGCGGCTGTGGGTGAATCACTCTGCCACCCCGTGCCTCAGTTTCCCCACTTATAGATTAGAGTTGACTCCTATCCATTAGCGTTGCTAAAGCCTGGAGGACGACTTGGATGCTGTTGCAGAAGCATCCCTGCTGGGAGTAACCACTAGCACTGACCATTTGGATTCTAACTGGGCACAAGAACCTGCTCCAGTTTCTCTAATCATTATTTTGCATTTCTTGGGCTTTCCCTGGGATGATTCCAAAAGCTGAGACATACAACCCCCTGGGAGATAGGGAAGGGTTAGCCCCCTCTTACGGAGAGGGACAATGGAAGTGCAGAGAGGGGAAGGGACTCACCCAAAGTCCCACAGCAATTTCATGGCAGAGTCAGGAACAGCGTCCAGCAGTCCTGGCCTAGAACCCACTGCTCTAGCCATCAGCACAGACTCCCTGCTGCAGCCAGAGGTCGAACCCAGGAGTCCTGAGCCCCAGTCTGTTCTTCCAACCACTAAGAACACCCGCTTGCCTCGACTCAGAACTCCTGATGCCCTTGTTCTAACCACTAGCCCTCACTCCCTTACCAGAGCTGGAAAAAGAACCCAGGAATCCTGACTTCCACGTCTCCTGCTCTGCTCACCAGGCTGCAAGCCCCTTCTTCTTGAACTGCATTTGCAATCCAGCTTTTGATTACCTCCCTCCTTATTCCTTGCGTTATGGCAAAAGGTGCCAATGGCCTTGCACAATATCAGTCCCTGATGGACAAGCAGCCTGGGTGAAACTCTCTGTAGATAGAGTTGACGGTGCCATTCAGTGACTGTCCCCAGAGAGGCTTGTATGGGTTAAAGCACTCTCCGTTGAATGAGATATACATTTGATTCCCTGCTCTACACCTGACTCTCTGTGTGGCCTTGGGCCTGTGGCCCGAGTCGCTGGATGTGACCCCTCCCTGTACATGCTTTAAATAAACTACCGGCACTAAGCAAACACCTGTCTCCGTGTTGCTGATTTCGGCTCTAAACAGGAGCTGGACCTGCCAGGCTGTGGATTCTGCGGTTGCTCAGCAATGGGGCAATACTCATTTAGGCTGCACTGATGGGGTGTGATTGCAACACATGTGGACGTACCCGACCTAGCTTTGATCTTGCTAGCTCGGGCACTGGAGCGGTGAAGCCACAACGGCAGGGGCTGCAGCACGGGCTCGTTGCTCCGGCAGAAACCCATCCAGGACCCTGGGTACTGTGGTGTACTGCAAATTACAAGCTCTCCCTTTACGTTTGTAAGGGGCTTCCTGGTCCTGCTCACAGGCAGGGGGGCTCTGTAGGGAAGCAAGTGACCTGGGTCTAGCTGCAGTCAGTCTGCAGCCTGCAGTCAAGTGGGGTGAATTGTGCCTCTGTGTGTTTAAGCAGCAGCCTCCTTGGTCTCGCTCCGCTATGGGGATTTTGTGTGTGTTAAAGTTCTGGATTCTAGGAATTAAAGCAGTATTACGTTGCAGCCTTCCAGAGCTTTGCATTGGCTTCTGTGGGGCCAGGATTTCCATAAAAAGTATATTATGTGTGTATCTAACTTCTCGGTGTATGCCATGAACAGAATAGGTATGAAATTTCCACCCAAAACTTCCCCCCAGCTCTACCAGAGACCCAACAAGTGGGAGGAATGTGCCGAGGGGGCTCGCTAGCTAAGTTAGCATCTCTCTGCCCCTGACATCTTGACGCGAGCATAATAGCCAGGCTGAAGGGCTGATTTCATGGAGATTAACCTCTCGCGTTGCGCTCGGGCTGCCTTGGTGCCTGGCCGTGGTTCATGAGTGTATGAAAGGCGGATTACAGATATATTAGCCTATCTGTCTTTTTATTCATGGGGGTTTATCATACGGAGGAGAGTGTTTGATGGGAGCCAAAACAGAGGAAGAGGAGGGTCTTTCCAAGCCCATCTGACTCCAAACATAAGAGGAGACGCAGGGTTATTGTTTTTTTTTTTTAAAGGAGATGAATTTTGCCGTTGATGGGCAATGCGTGCCGAGACCGCCCCGAGGCATGGAATCCTGCGTCTAGCCGCAGAGCGGATACAGCGGGGCTAGCTTCCTCCACATCCACACTGCCCTACAAATGGGTCCCAACTTGGGCCCGGAATCAGTGGTGCAAATCGGGTGACCAAATGTCCCGATTTCATAGGGGCAGTCCTGATATTTGGGGCTTTGTCTAATATAGGTGCCTATGACCTCCCACCCCCGTCCCGATTTTTCACACTTGCTGTCTGGTCACCCTAGGTGCAATTCTGCACTTACTCAGAGTTGCATAGGCCGGAGAGCCAGGGGGCCACGGCCCAACCGCTTGTAAACAGCGGCCTTGGACTAAACCAGTGAATGTCGCTCCAGCTGCCAATTGCGATGCCACTGAAGTTCAGCCTGTCCACCCCCCTGTCCAGGCGGAGGGGCCACTGGGCCCCATGGTGTTGCGAGCTGGTGCACGGGGAAGTTTGTTCCGGTACGGCAGAGTGTAGGGAAGTCTGCTGAGAACTCAACTCCCGGCAGCACCGTCTGTCTCTGTGAGGGTAAGAGAGGGGAGACTCCCCGACTGAGGGAGACCTGGCGTCTCTGGAAGGCGAGGGTAAATGGGAGCGGAATAGGGTCCCAGCTGGTGGGGGAGGGGAGGGACTTGAATTTGCCCCTTTCTCCCCTCTATCCCCCCAAGAAATATATGAACTGATTCCACTGCCTGGAATGATCCCCCCTCTAGGGGTAAGAAGGGAGTTTAGTTCCCATCTGACGTGGGAATCTTTTAGGGTGCCGTTCTGCACCCCTTGCTAGTAGTAGTGAGGGCAGGCCTTCAGCGAGCCAGAGAGACATCCCTTTCCGAGCACAGCAAGGAGAGAGCTGCAAAGGGGGCCTGGCCAAAGCCACTCCTCCACTGGGATTTTAGCCGAGCGTGAAGCCGCACCAGTGCCCTAGTATAGACACAACTGACTTGCCCTGGGTTGCGAATCCTGCTGCACTGGGGCCAATCACGTCTGCGCTAATGCAGCAGTGCTGGGGGCTAAGATCCCATGGTCCGCAGGGCTTGGGAGAAAGGTGCGGCCCCCGGTCCACTCATTCCAACCACCCCTTTAAAAACGACCCGGAAAAAAATGACCATCTCTCTCCTAACACACCTACACACACACACACACACGAGCTTGCCTGGTGCTTTAGACATGTCCAGCGTTAGCAAAACCCAGGGGCCACAGCTGGTAAGTTGCAAGTGGAACCAGGTCCCTTTGCTGAGGCGGGCATCGCGAGATGGGACAGGGAAGGCCTAGATTTTCAGCCCCGCTCGGCTGGGGAGGTGTTTCCGCAGAGCTGGTGACTTTCTCCCGAAAGCCTGGCTGGAGCTTCCCAGAGGGGGGCGGGGGTGTTGAGTGGGGTGGTGCGGGCAGGCGTGGGGACGCCCCAGCTCCCTGCGCCGCTTGTCACGAATTGAGCCTTGAAAAGGTTAAAGCGGGGCCCGAGCGAGAGAGAACGTGCGAGCGAAAACGCTGAACAGGGCCGTTTTAATTACATTCCATTAAACCTCCCTTTCGGGGCTGCGTTTCTCGACCATGGGCTGCACATTCTCATGGTAATTATGGGACATCTGTATAGAGGCTCCTTTCTCATCAAAGATGGCTCTCATCAAAGACGCTCCTGGGAAACCCTTCACCTTTGACCCCCGGGGTCACCGCCGAAACAGTGGCTCTATAGTTCGTGCTACTGTAAAGCTGTAGTATCCTTTTTCCTTCTCCAACCTGACCCGGTCTTGGGACTTTAATGCAATCCATGTTTAGGCGGGGGGGGAAGCTTGTCGTTCGTGTCAGCTTGGGGAGGGCAGGGGGGGGGGGGTGGAGGACGGTGCAGAGAAAAGGGGGCCTTTCTTTTCCTCCCCAGCATCAACAGTTTCCTTTTAATGCCCCCCCGCCCAGTCCTCCTTCGTGCTCGCCCCCCCACTCGAAGCGTGGGTATGGGCGAGTTAATATGTCTCTTAACTCGCCAGCGACCCAGCGCAGGTTGACAGGGAAGGCAGATCAAAGCGCAAAGACAAGTGGTTTTAATTAGATTGACTGGAGCGGTGGGTTTCCTCATTCACGCTGGGGAAGGGGAGGGCGCGTGAATCCCCCCCTCTCACCGCCCCCCTCTTTGCAGCGTTGAAATCAGCTCCATCCAGGGAACTCACGTCCACCCCATGACCCCCTCAGTGTTCTCAGAACGACCCTTCATGGGATGAATCCGCAACGGGGGGGATCTGGGATCAGTAACGCCTCTGATGGGGAACACCTGGGGCATGAGTGGTGCTCTAAATATCATGAGTCAGCCGCCCCTCCCCCACTCCCAAAAAATCACATAAAAATCTGGGTTCTTTCCGATTTCAGAGCTTCTAGGGGGCCACTTTCCCCAGCTTTTCTCTGCAGCCACAGGGGCGAGAAATAGCTCTTTTTGGGAGAAGGGGGGGTTAACCCAAAGCCAAGATTTTCCCATAATCACAAGACTCCAGGAGCTGGGGATTCAAACATCAAATATTGAGAGTCTTGCAATAACATCGTGAGAGTTGGTAGCACTGAGGAAGGCCTTGGGGGGAAGGTTCCTCACCTGCCACTCTCAGAGGTAGCGAACTATCCATCCTGTCTTTTCTCTATCTGCCCATCCCTTTGATCTCTGTCCATCTATCCTCTCTTACCAATCTGTCTCTCTTGCATCTCTACAGTGTCCATTCCCTAGAATCTAGGTGCTCGTACCCAACTGGGATTGGTCCAAAGAGCCAGCCAAAGTACGCACTAACTATGCCCAATTTGCTCCAACCGCTTCCAGCATGTCAGTAGCTATGAATGGCTCTCCCTGCGGCCCAGAGAAGGAGTGTCACCTAGTGGATAAAGCACTGACCTGGCATTTAGGAGACCTGGGTTCTTGGCCTGGCTCTGCTGCTGGAGGACTGTGAGCATGTCATGGCTCTCTTGTGCGCCTCAGTTTCCCCATATATAAAATGAGGATAATGGTACTGCTTTCCTTTGTAAAGCACGTTGAAAGCTAGGGCTGGAAAGCATTCTGTGAGAGCTGGTTGGGTTCACATCCTGACTGTCAGGTGCTTGTCTATAATAATATAAATAATGAGACTTGGAAGGATCAGCTTTTTATCGGTAGACGTTGATTTCACTGCACACACACAAACCAACAACAAAAATATTTCCTTCAATAATAATCGAAATATACAGTTAGATAAAGTAAGAAAACCTCTGCTTGAGAATTTATTAGCGTCAAAATCCAGTGATTCAGACTTTTGAATTAGGCTGGTTACAAATGGCCTCACGAATGAATAGTAAAAACAGGTACAATCTGTTGATTTCAGGATATTTACTTTGTATATTTTGACATGCGACATTGATCGTTTGTGTTAACGGGGTATAAAGCTTTTAACTTTTTTATTCTCAGTGTCTACTGTCATTAAATAATTGTCTGACACCCCCTCCCCCCCCGCTCCCGTAATTTTCCACAACTGTGAACATTTAAATGGGTAAAAATGGGAAAAATATGCTCCCAACCCGAATTTCACACAATGGTGAGGTTTAAATGGCTGCAAATCAAAAAAACAGAGATCAGAAAGAAACCAATATCAGCTGCTGAAATTATAAAAATATCAAAATTGAATTTTGCCATGCCTATATATGACCCAAGGTCCCCTCTTTCTGTTCATGTCTCCCTCAATGACCCAATGCACCTCCTCTCACATTCACTCCCATGCCACCTCCGGCCCCCTGGCACAATCACGCCTTAGTGGGATGGTGGGAATACTCCATTTCCAGAGCTGCGAATAACACCCAAAGGGTTGCAAGCCATAATGGAGAGGGGGATGCAGCAGCAGACTGGTGGCTCAACCTTATTGTGACACGTATCGAGGTAAGGGCAGTCAGGTCCCTAGAGGAGCTGAGGTGGGGAAGCTCCTGCCACCCAGCTGGGGGCTGAGTAGATATGAATAGGTTGTC